TCATGGACCAGTCCTTGAACCACAGTCCAATTGTGTAACATCTGGCTCTACTAAACATTTTGATTTCTGAGTGTGCTATTGTGTAAAAAATATTGGTGGGGGTGGGGGGGGGGAGGAAAGACAATTCTCTGAAGAGTTTTATTTAGTCTTTGACCAGTTATGCTATTCAGCACTTGTTAACTATAGCCATAGTCATAAGGAGTTTACAAAATAATTTGGAATGAAATACCTTACTGAATGGATATAGTGGATATTTTTAAAGTGGTAGTAGATTGATTCCCCAAAGGCATGATATGTTTCTTGACTGCTAAGATCTCTTAAAGCACAAGAAAGTGGCAAGCCCATAATTCTCTGGTTAGACAAGTAGGCAGGAAAATGGATGTGCAATACTGAGCCACTAGGAGACAAATCCTCTCAAATTAACTCCCACACCAGTTGACCACTGTAAATACAGACGTAATGGACACCATAATAGCATGTTTCAGTGAGATTTGAAGAGAAGAAAGGGTGGCAGATGGTTCTATTTTCTGAGGTCAGAATATCCTTACAGCGTTGCTTGAGTCCAAAGCAGAGAGAGAAGGGAAAGAAACACCACTTTGAGGTCCTCAGATGTGGTTTAACCAGATCATATGTGCTGCTGGCTGGCACTGACATTTGTGGTTAAGGTTGAGAGCCAAAAAGGGCTGTGTGTTATAGGAATTTCTCACTAACTTTTTGTTTGTTTGTATAAAACTAGGGAGGGAAGTAGTTGAACAAAATCCAAGAGAGTTTCTTTTATTTCACTTCTCTGGAGACTTGAATCATGGGATTGGAAAGCTCTTGCTTGATGCTTGATTTGCTAAATTGGTGACTCTCTGAGCTGGTGTCTCTTAGCTTTTTTGAACCATACAGTAAGTTTTCCACCTCCTTGAAGAGTATGATTTATCTCCCTGCTTCCCACCCTGCAACCTCCTTGAGATTCATAGGCTTTGTGAAGTCATGGCAACTGAGAAGATGTTATCAAGTTTTACTTTCTATTATAGTTTCTGTTACAAAAGCAATAGACATTTGTTAGCTTTCCAAATATATAAGCATGCATTATATAATTGGATATGCTTTTTCACTCCATACTACCCCTTTTCATGTTAATATGCCACCATTTGTACAAAATGTCCCACAATTTCAGAGGGCTCATAGACCTCCTGAAAGCTATGAATGAACCCCCAATGGGACTTTTTCTCCCAACTCTAGATGACTCAGTTACGGCCATCCCATGGGCTCTTTTTCCATCCTGTTGTATGTCTTTGTTTCTCTTAGAATCACAGTGTTAGAGCTCTAAGAAGTCATAGAGATCTTCTAATTTCATCCCTACATTGGATATCTAGAGAGTTTAAGCAAATCTCCCAAAGATGCACAACTGTGATTACACAGCATATTCTGAGCAAGAACTCAGGTGGCTAAAGTCCCTGTTCAATATTCTTTCCATTATATTGTCAGTTGCTTGAATCTTCTCTACTTTATCCCATCCCTCTTAAAGACAGCAGCCAAAACTCCAAAACAAACAAATGCCAGTATAACAAACTCTGCAAAAGTACTTCATATTCTTTTGTACATATTAATATCAAGCTGCTTTTATTTTATAATCACTCCAAGGCTGAGCAAATACTTATTCAGTTGCTATAAACTCAGATTTTTGCCAAGTGTTGTAAATGATACAGAAGAAAAACTACATAACCTCTAACTTGTAGTAGTTTAAAATTCATTGGGTAGACAAACATGATTCGTGTTTAGCTTGTTCTCAGCACTAACATCGGGGACCTTTTTTAATGCATTTGTAATTAGTGATTTCCAACTCTCCACTCCTACTCTGTAACTTATCCCTTCCTTATTTCTTCTATAGTTTATCTCTATCAAGAACTATTCTTGAGACTGGAAGGAGTATAGGAGAATTCATAGGTGATTTATTGACAAGTTTAGTTACTAATAATATAAAAGCTCAAACAGAAATACAAGGTAGATAGTGTCATTATTTTCTAGGTGGGAAAACTGAGGATCAGCAAGACTATATGACTGTTCCAGGATTGCTCAGTTGGTAATAGATTGAGCAGGGTCTAGTAGCCAAAGTGGCTGGTGTCAGAGTCCACAGACTTTCCAGTACATGCAAACAAGAGTATAATAAAGTGGGAAAAAGTGAACAGGGAAAAAAAAGCTTGTTGGAAGATATAGCTTTGTCACAGTGAGGTTTTATGGACACTTCAAATTAGCTGACAGTGAGAGATTTTTTAATGTGCTTACTGTTCTATGTGTCCTTCCTAAAGCCGTGTGAATTCTTATGTGAGCAGGGGCATTATGGTAAAGGAGGGATTCACAGAGATGAGGAACGGATGGGACACACTCTCTTGAGATATCTATAGAATTCACCTTTTACTTATCTAAGAATTGGGCCTGAAGCAAGGATAAATGTATCAGAGACATTAAGTCTCAGAACCTTAGTTGAAAAAAGAGACCAAGGTGGTGGAATAGATGATCCTGGTATTGCTCCCCCCATGACAGGTCAACTTACAACTACTAAAACACAAACACTACCATCCTGTAATCACTGAAACTTGGGGGAAGAGGAGGAGAGACCTGCTGAGTCCATGAAGGTGTGGAAAACTGCAACAAGTGGAAGGAGGGATTACCCCAACCAGATCCCATCCCAACTACACACAGAGGACCTACCAGCACACAGAGCAGCTACCTAAGAGTGGCAAAGCCACAGGAGCACCATCTGTGTGATGCTACTCAGAGTGTGCAAGGGAGAAGGGTGCCATGATCACTGGAAAAAGCCCTGCAACGCTTTGGGGTGTATATCCCATTTCTCAGGACAGGGGTTCTTTGGGGAGCAGGGTAGACAGTTATCTACCTTACAATCTGCATGGGCACCACATAGCGGAGACTGGTCAGTGTGGGAGACTGCAAGGTGCAGTTTGCAAGAAAGTCTCAGTCACAGGCCAGAATTTTCACACAGCCCAGTTGCATTTGTGGTGACCTGGAAGTGACTAAAAGTCCAACATTTAAAATCTGGTTCTCACCAAAAGTTTTTCCGTCTGAGAATCAGCAGTAAGGCAGCAGTTTTAGCTTAGGCACAAAGTTCAAGTTCCAGTCCCTGCAGGAAGTTTCCCCTATTCCAGGAATTAACCACAGGACAGCAAATTAGTTCTACTGCAGTTTTTAAGTGGTGGTGGTTGCTATTAAGCCATTACAGAACAGGAAAAGAAAAAAAAAAACAACACATAGACCAGAGACAAAGTTCCGACATTAAGCAGGATAGATCTAACACTAGCAAAGAGCACCTATAAAACCTGAAAGAGGTAGCTGTCTCCTCTAATACCCATGCAGAATGTAAAGACACAAAGATCAAGAAAGAACAGAGAAATATGACACCACTAAAGGAAATCAACAAACCACCAGCAATGGACCCAGAAGGGCAGTGGATTTATGAAATGTCTGACAGAATTCAGAATAATCCTCCTAAAAATGTTCAGGGAGTCACAAGAAAATACAGATAGAAAATTAACTGATATTTGGAAAACAATTCAGGAGCAGAAAACTTGACAAATAAATAGAATTAATTTTTTAAAAATAGAAATTCTCAAAATAAAGAATACACTATCTGAACTGAAAAACTCCATAGAAAGCTCCAACAGCAGACTTGATCAAACAAGGAAAGAATCAGTGAGCCTGAAGACAGAACATATGAAATTATCCAATCAGAGGAGAAAAAAGAAAAAAGAATAAGAAAAAATGAAACAGAATTGCAGCAATTACGGGACTCCCTCAAGTGAAATAAGCTCTGCATAATTTGTGTACCCAAAGGAGATGAAAAAGGAAGAGCCCTAGAAAGCATATTTAGGGAAATAATGACAGAAAATTTCCCAAACATGGAGAAAGATGACAGCATCCAGGTACAGAAAACCCAGAGGTCACCAATCATTCAGTCCAAAGAGGAACACTGCAAGGCACCTCATGGTCAAATTATCAAAACCAAAGACAAAGAAAGAATACTGAAAACAGCAAGAGAGAAGAAACACATAATATTCTATGGAGTCCCAATATGCCTCTCAGTGGATTTCTAGGTAGAAACCCTGCAAGCCAGGAGAGAATGGGAACAAAGAATTTAGCATCCACAGCTGTTGTCTAAAGACAGATTCCCAGATCACTGAATCTTGGCAAATGGGATAATGAGACTGCAGGTTTATTTTGAGGAGAAAGTTGTTTGCTAGGACCCATGCTGTCCTCAGACTCAGGCAGCGTTTGCAGAGGGTGAACCTGACATCTTGTTTGCTCAGAATATTCTTGTTGCTGAGCTTTTCCCTATAAATCGTCAGTGCACTGTGGCATAATAGCACTTTTTGTATTTTTCCATGGAGATGGAGGAAGAGGCAGTAGCGATTTGATAAATCTACCCATATATAGTTGAAAGTTAGTTTCTTTTTCCTTTTTTTATGTATCTATATTGTTTACCACCAGGGGTATTTAAAATACAACTTTTTGTAAGTTTTGAACCAGAAAGATGGCATATGTGAGGAAAAAGAAGCAAAAAGAGAAAAAGAAAGAGAAAGACATTCTTTAACTGACTTGTACTTTGGTGGAGAAAGAAAGCAGCAGACCATTCTAAAAGAAGTAATCCTGGTTTTAAAAAGACCTGGTTCTCAAAAGGCTGCCGTTGCATATTTGCTATATTTGTTCCTATTTTGTTTGTAAAAGGCTTTAAAGGTTTATGATGTAATGAAGCAAATATTATTTTGTGGTTGAAAATTAAAGAGTTCTTTTGTATTTTAGGTTGTACAAGAATTCGAAGATGCGGTGAGAATTGGAGTGTGTGTGTGTTATGGGCGGGCAGTGAGGAAGAGGAGGGGAAGTGACTAGCTCCTTCCCGTCCTCCAGGCTTAATTATAAGCCATATTTCTCAATATTTTTTTTTGCTTCCATTGATTTGGATAAAAAATAAATGGATTTTTCCCAAAAATGTATTTCAGGGCCCTGGTAGCATCTCAGATGGAACCAACATTTGCCAGGAATGTTTTCCCTTGTTTTGATGAGCCAGCTCTGAAAGCAAGTTTTAATATTACAATTATTCATCATCCAAGTTATGTGGCCCTTTCCAACATGCCAAAGCTAGGTAAGTCATGCTCCCTGTCTATATATATGTATATACACACTCACACACAAACATACACACACCCATATGTAAATATGTATAAACTTTGTAATAGCTTTTATATCAATAGCTTTTCCAGGCAGTGCATTAGTAGTGTAGTATAATTGCAGTGTATTGTAATTAGGGAGAACAGTTATTACATGGGGTATGTGTCAGTACCCACATCTTGGAGACAGTAAATCTTGATTCATTTAGTATTAAAAGCTGGGCACATTACACTGTTCATTTACATTGGCAGCCTGCCTGTTCATTAGTTTGGGCTTGAACTATTGATCATTAGTGATTAAAAGCTGTTGGACTTGGTCTGAACCTGGTGCACAGATGTGTTTTATTTGGCTCATGTGACTTTTTTCTTTTGTTTGAATTAGTTTACAACTCTTAAAAATCCAGAGATTTCACATAAAAATCTAGATTTTTATTTCCTTAAAAACACAGAAAATCTAACAACACTGGACCTGCAATTCTTATGTGGTGCCACAGTCCCCACCCCTCCCTGTTAGTGTACACCAACTCATTTCACATCAAGTGCCTGGCCCTCATATACATTTGAGTTTGTAATTTCAGTTTTAAAGGCCCCAGACTGCTTCTGCCGAAGATCTGTCTGAAACCTGAGAATGGTAGAGTTCCACCTTGTTGACTTACTATGGGCCTGAGCAACTCTAAGTTGCATGTTGTGAGAAATGGGCTACACTGGGAAACTAAAGAAGTGGGTGGAAGAGAGAGGAAGCAGATCAGGGACCAAACTTACACTGCTCATGGATTTGACCCTCAATCAAGGCTATATTACTCAAGATGGTGATTCAGGCCCAAGATGTTGTCCTTAGATCTTCCTAATGTAGTTTTTGGTAGCTTAGAGGTAGGTAGAGAAATTTGAACTGCTAGACTATAGAGAGTAATTGGGAAGAAGTAGCTGGGTGACAACTGTGACTTGATAACTTTTTTCAAAGGTAGATGTTATTGCTTAGGTTTACAGTGATTTGGACTAAAATAAATTTCTCTAGGTCAATCTGAAAAAGAAGATGTGAATGGAAGTAAATGGACTGTTACCACCTTTCATACCACACCCCACATGCCGACTTATTTAGTCGCATTTGCTATATGTGATTTTGATCATGTCAGCAGAATGGAGAGGGGCAAGGAGGTGAGTAAGGAAGATTCTCTAGGTATGGAAAAATGTACTAGCTGCAGATTGTTTACCCAGTCTTTCTGGATCCAAGGGTTATGCCTGCATATCCCATCTTCACCTTCTGCTTCTCTCCCAATCCCTGTTGAAGCTCTTAGTGTAGCTTTGCAAAATGAGATGTAGCATTTCCCACTGCAGCTCTGTGGAGGGATTTTCATGGAAAGGCTGCACATTAAACCCACTCCTGAAGGCAGGTTCTGAGTCTCCTCTTCTCAGTCTGTCTCTGCCTTTGCAGAGGATGGGAGAGAATGGGGAGAGCTGCCACACTGACGCCTTGCAGCTCAGGTTTGGTATATACTGTGTCCGTAGCCTACAGGGTTAATGTAGTCTTAAAGCTGGGTGATGCTCAAATGTTTAGCAACTGGTATGGCTCAGATACCAACCAATTAGGGTGGATACCAGTCAGGAGCAACTGCTCTGGCTGAAATGGTGCATACAGGTTAAATGTCATTCCTATCTAGACACTGGACTGCTGTGTTCCTCAACTCTGGGGTGTGTGACACTTCTCCAGAGTTGTGTAAAGTGGGTACTCTGTCCTGAAGTACTGAGTTGTCACCCAGTTATCCCCTCATTACATAATAACCCTTTAGGAAATTATTGAGGTTATTTGTGACAGTGATTTATATTCTGGTTCACTCCCTTTGATGGAGCATGGAGGTAAGTAAGGTCATTGCCTTAGGCCCAGTTCTTTCTAGTCTCATAGACTTCATGAGGCTGGGAAAAATCAGGCCCCACAGCTGGCTGAGGCACTCTCCTGCGCCTGAGATCTTCCAGGCTCGTACCATTGACATGTGGAGACAAGGGAGCGTAAGTGAGTCAAGCCCATCATCAGGGGGAGAGTCACTCAAAGCTACCCCTCCTACATTCCTCCTAACCCTAATGAATTAATAATATTGTGTTGGATGCAAACAGCTTGTTATCTTTCTGAGCTGCTGGCTCCAGCCTCATTTCTCTTATTGGATGATGACTAGTAGATCCTTGACATTCACAGATATATCATTAGCCAAGCCAAACATTCATGAAATATATTGACAAGTTTACGCAGACATGGTCTGGAAGCACATACTTTGAGCCTGGCAAGAAGGAATGGGACACCCAAGGCACTCCCTCAGCATCCACATCTCAAGTAGCTTGTTGTGGTCAGTGCTGCTGCACAGTCAACAATTCTTGTAAAGGGATAAAATCTGTTTCTTCATGAGAGAGCACTCTGAAAAGAACACCAGCTGCTGTCGAAGCAAAGAGGAAATGAAGCATGCCTAAGAAAGTAATTTTCTTAGCCAGAAAACTGGAGTTTGGGATGAGTTTATCAGCGGAATGTTGCATTGGCTATGGCTCAGCTCCACAAAGTGAATGAGTCCACCATATAATCTACAGGGGAGCCAAATTGCATGCTTGGAATAGTGTCCAGCTTATACAAAAATTGCTTGTTAAGTTAGAGATAAAGATGTAGTGAAGTTCAAAATGTGGTTAATGTGTGGCATAAGGATAAACGTTAAGAAACACATAAGTAAGGATGAAAATAACATACTTTGGGTATACTTTAGCACACATGGGCATTTGCAAAGATATTCCTCTCTTAGATGTCAAGATCTGCTGTGTCTAGGGAGGGCCACCAGGACACACTGGTGGGCCAGGTGTGATTTTGAAGAAGCTTTGTGGCTGCATCTCCAAAGTGGCTCCCTGCCAGGGCCATTCACCCTCCCACCCAATTTGAAATCCCAATTATTTGCCTTACTTTTAGCTTACAGAATGGCAAGTTATGGGAGGAGTAATTTGAAAATTAATGTGCAAATATTAATTGCTATTGCTATTATTTTCCAAAAGGCTACAGTTAAAATGCACACTTTATCTCAACTGTGGGGAGAGATGACTATTATTCACATCCCGTAGTGTGACTTTTGGTTGAGCAGGCTTCCTAACTGTCACCTCAGAAGTCAGAAGTTAGGGGAGGGGAAGTTTAGTGTCAGGGCAGGGCTCAGCCCTGGGGCCATCTTTCTCAGCTTAATGAGGCCTCTGCGGCACAGAGAGACAGAAAACAGTGAAGGGATCCCGGAGGAGCCTCAAAAACAGGTGGTTGCATTTTGTAAACGGAGAGCGTTCCTGAACCCTTCGCGTAATTTGAAATTCACATAATTCAAGACAAATTTTCCAGCAGAAATGAAAGCAATGATGAATGTATTCTTAGAGTGCACAAACCTGCAGATTTTGTTGTGCTGCTTTTCGTTTTCTTATCATTTTCTCCAGTGTTTTGCAGGGAGCTCTTTCTTAAGTAACCGCACTCACATCAGGACAAATATTTTAATTCTCTAACCTCTAACTTTTATTCCAAGTTTTTTGAGTTTCATGCATGTTCTTTAGCATTAATGCTAGCAGTTCTATTAAAAGTTGCTTAGATAATGTTATAGTGTATAAAATGCTTTTAGACTGCAATAATAATGAATGTTAAAACATCAGCATATTAGTCATCAAAATCTGACAAATAAGTTCCAAGTGCCCAAACAACAGTGTGGTTACGTAAAACTGAAAAACATAGCAGGGATTTCTTTTTACCTGCTAAAGAGGAAGTGTCGTTTGGCAAAAGAATAAACAGGATATAATTGACATGCTTCAACGGTTTTAAAATCATATGACTTTTGATGAACTTTTTAAAATTAAGGGAATTAACCTTATTTCAATTTTTGAAAATAAGATGGAACTATTAATGTTTTAATTATCAAATCATTTTAAACTTGCGTGATTCAAATTTGCTTGATATGTACCATACTCACTAAGAGCACAATTCTGTTTTGGATCTTTAGAAATAAGTCCTGAAAAGGAAAGCAAGGATCCAAGGTGCCCTTTTATGTAGAATCAACAATTTCTTTGGGGGTAGATGGTGGTGTGGACCATTCCAAGGATTGTTTTATAATTACAGAGTTGTACATGTTATTCTCAGAGGTCGAAATAACATACTTTCTGGGGTAGTCATTGTTCATAACTTAGTGAACAGCTTTCTGAGGTTTTCTCAGCACGTGTATGTATGCATGTAAACATTTTATTATGTAGCTTTGTCTCAAAAGGCAAGACTTTGGCTCTAAAGCAGCCAGGGTTTGAAGCAAGCAGGTTGCCACTTTCCAAAAGCACTATTCCTTTTCCTAATTACTGCTGAATTGTTTTTATTTAGATACGCATCTGGGCTCGGAAAGATGCCATTACAAATGGAAATGCAGACTTTGCTTTGAACATCACAGGTCCCATCTTCTCTTTTCTGGAGGATTTATTTAATATTAGTTATTCTCTTCCAAAAACAGGTAAGGCATCTTCCCTTCCAATGCAATTGGTTTCCTGTTATGGGGTTCCTGGTTGAGATCACGGAATATACAAATCATCCTTTATAGACCCATTGTCACCAGGTAGCTGCTATTTGGAGTTAGCCTTCTGGCCTCTTGTCATTTGGAAGGTCTTATACCTTCCAAAACACATAGAGGTCTGTCTGCACTTCCTCTGCACAGTGCTGTGTGCTCAGTGGGTGTTCAACAGCTCTCTAGATCTCACCTGGGTACTCAAGGGCAGCCTTACCTTCTCCAAACACTGCTTTCTTTCCTGTGTTCTGGCCTTTTCTCTCATGATGCAAGTGTGCCGTGCTATGTTCTGGATATTTTTAGCTAGCAGGCTTACATAAGTTACGCCAGTTCCCTATAGTAAGTTTTTGTTTGTTTGTTTTTTGTTTAGCTGTAAGTCATTGGATTAGGACTTAGTGGTCCCATCTGTGAATTATCATTGTATAAAACTGGAATCATGTGTGACTATAATACGACCCTTAAGGAAATATGTAAATGTGTTATCTCTCATAGATCTGTGTGGTATGTCCTGAAGATTCTATGAGCCACTCAGCTCAGAAAGTTGTTCAGTGTTTTTTTCTCTCTAAATCGAGTGTGTCATGTAAATGTGTTTTCTTTTTCTGACATGTTAGTGGAAGTCTTGGAAAAAATACGCTCTGCCACATATTGCACACAGGTATTGATATTCAGTGCTGTACCACACAGATATGTGTAATCAGTTATATTTCAATAAATTTTTTAAAAATGCTCTGCCTATACCAGCAGATGGTAGAAGAGTTGGGGAGTAAATATTTGGGAACTTGGGCCTCTTGAACTCCAGGAAGCCAGGGGCTCTGCATTCTGGTTAAAGAAGAATGGGGTACCAAGGGTTGAGAACCAGCCTTGACCCATTCAGGGATCCTGGAGGTGACCCCTGTCATTTAGGGGGGTGGAGGCAGCAGGAGCCCACGCTTGGAGACCAAGCTCCTGGAACTTCTGTGGCTGGAGGCTCCTACGATGACCCCCTGTCAAGGCAAGAAAAGTTGTATTTGTGTTTATTTAGATGAGAAATCCAGAGCTATCATTTATCCCCCATTCCCTCAAAGCACCTCCTCTATCCAATTACTCACCTTATTATTTCCTACATACATCCACTCACTTCTTCATGTGCCCCTAGCTCTCCCTAGTTTACATCACCAACATCTCTACCAGAACAGTCCTCATGTGGTTTCACCACCTTCCTGCTGGCCCCCTCCAACCCATCCTCCATATGAAACCAGAAGGATCTTTTCAGAGCAAATCTCTTTAAAACCTCTCTGTCGTTTCCCATTGCCCTGAGGATAAAATCCAAACTCTGTGCCATGTCTTTATAATGGTGCACTTCTTACTAGGCTCTTTGGGGCTTTTGGTAGTTCCTCAGAGTGGGAGGGGTGCTCTAGCACTGTCTGTGCACCCTCCAGTGCTGTCATCTTCCTCTCCTCTCCTCCAGGCTCCTGCACATGCATTTTGCACATCCTGGAATGTCTTCTGTCCAGCTGGTTAATTCAATTCTTACATTTCTTGATTCAGTGCCCCCTCATCCAGGAAGCCTTCCGTAAATCCCTTTCTCATGCTGCCACAGCATCCAGTACACCCTTCCATCCGACCTCTTAATCTACCAAATCCTAATTGTCACCCTTATTGGATCAAGAGCAACTTGGTATCAGTATTTGGATTGTGTTTTTCTTTGTACCTCCAAATGCTATGGCAGTGCTTCTCTCATGGTAAACAGTAAGTTATGGGAGGATGAGAATACATACATATGTGCAATTAGTTCAGTAATTACACTTAAATTTTGACTAGATTATCAACTCTTGGGTGTTTGGGTTATGTTTGGCACTTTAAAAAAATATCCTTCATAGCATCTCAACCAACGTTATCCTATGAGCACCCCTAGGTGGTGCTCAATCAAAACTTCCTTTTGATTAGTGGAAATTTCTCTATTACTGGATCTTTAGGAGAAAGATAAATTAATGTTTCCTAACTGATTTAACTCTTGGTGGAGTCCCTTATAAAACAAAATAAAACAACAAATACCTTCGCTGCCAGCATTTGCCACATATGCCATGCTCTTCCTCTCAGTGAGTCAGGTGAAAAGCCATTTGGTTTATTTCTACCATGTTGTTCTTTTAGCTTATCTTCTTGTAGCTTGCTCAATGAATTCTAAGCCTTAGAATCTAAGGTAATATAAACTGTGTTCATGTATTTGTTATATAGAACAGCATTTTTTTTTTTCTGGTGTTGCTATCATTTTTACTCACTCTGTTTAAAGGTCAAAAGTGGACTGAAATATCAAAATGTTATAGATACTCACAGAGTTAGGTGTTTGGGTTATTATAAGTTTTGAAAGAAAAAAGTGGCATGATGCCTTTAGGAATAAATATGGGCATTTAAGATTTGCAAATTTTTAAATGGCAACTTCCCTTTTTATGTTTTGGTTATGCTCTTAACTAGTAATAATAGTGGGCTAACTATTTGTATTATGCATCACAGCTTGGTATGTATTTTTGAAGCAATAAAATTCAGGTACAAGCTGGCCAGTTAGCCAATTGTTTAGAGTGTAGTGTTGATAATAGCAAGGTCAAGGGTTCAGATCCCCCGTACTGGTCAGCTACAAAAAAAAAAAAAAAAAAAAAAAAAAAAAAAAGTACAAGATAAATCATAAGCAGTAAAATAATTACTGTAATTAATGATAATTTACTGAGGAAATAGTGAGTACCAATTACTTTTCTGGATGCTGTGTGAATGTAGAAAAAGTAGGTGGTTGGGGCTCTGTTCAAGTAGCTGAGTTGAGGAAGTTTGTTTCTATATGTTAGAAACATAAGCAATAAGTTACATTAGCAAGAGATAAAGTACTGGCTGAGCAAAAGTCTTAAATATAATCCAACAGAAAAAACAATTAGAATATATAAAAAGAAGGTTTATAGAAAAGGGAACACACGTGGTTTGTAAACTTATACTTAACCTCCTTAGTAATCTGACAAATGAATATTCAAGGTCACAGCGAGGCACCAGTTTATACTGTTCAGTGGTCAGAAAGTAGACATTGTAACAAATGTCAAGTGTTGGAGAGAATGTGACATTGTTACAACTACTTTGAAATTTAATTATTTATTATCTTGCAATGTTGACCATTAGAATACCTTAAAATCCACAATACCATTCCTAAGTATATCCTTAAAAAGAATTTGAGCATATATGTACCAGAAGATGTGAGCATTGGTAAGAGTGTTCCTAGCTACACTTTTATATTAGCCCCAAACTGAAAACAACCAAAATGGTCATTGATAGGAGAATGGATAAATAAACTGTGTACATTCACACAAAGGAAAACTGTATAGCTATGAAGATGAAACACCTTTTCTAAAGTTTAAAAACATAAAAACTAAACAATATGATATACTCATATGTATATTATTTCTATAAAGTAAGGGAATGGTAAATACAAAGCCCAAAATATTTATTATCTGGTCCTTTACAGAAAAAGTTTGCTAACCCCTGTTCTAAAGGGTTAAGTGGTGGATTCATGAATATTCCCATTATTATTTTAAAATAATGTATTAATCATTAAAATAAAGTTAAACAGTGTCAGGTGTGAACCAATGATGATAGTGTATCAAGAAACAAGGATTTTGATTAATCTAATTCTATGCATCTGAAGTTAAAATGTTTTTTTTAAATGGTCATGAGGGTTAGAAATAAATGTTTTCTTATAGCTGGTGAGATTGGACCATGAGTATTCCTAGCATTCACAGATTGAGCAGATTTCTTGGGACAGTAAACAGCTTGCAGAGAGAAAGCCCCTGTGGTTGTACAACACCAAAGGAATTGGCTTGAGCGGAGCAGAGCAGTCTTTGTGAGGAAAGTGGGTGGGTTGGTGGGTGGGATGGGAGCAGGTAGGGGAAGAGAAAAGTTAGGAGGGGCAACCAAGGCTAATGCAACTTAGTATGTTCAAAGGTAATAGAGCAGTAACTGGTGGAGGCTATGGAATGACAGGGATACGCTTACTTCACAACACACTGTCACCCTCAGCCATGTGTAAAGTCAACTGAAATATTTAACTTAGCACGCCATAGAACATTCATTAGGCAAAGGTAGCATGGGTTATAGGAGTGATACTTCTTCCGTTAGTAAAAGAAAATAAAATCTCTTATTCTTCTAGTTATGAAAGTAATGTGATCACACTAGAAAATTTGGAAAAACAGAGAAAAGTACACAAAAAGAGAAGAAAAATCTCCTGTAATTCTGTCACACAGATATGACCACAGCTGACATTTTGGTATATATGAGTATTTTCCCAAAGCCTTTCAGTCTCAATCTCTGTCTTTCTCTGCATTTGCTTCATTTTTAACAAAAATGGCACCATAGAGTTGACACTGTTCTTTGAATGGCTATTTTTTTTTTAAGTTTACAGTATTTAGCAACAGGATCAAGATAACTAAATATTCTTTTGTATTGTCATTTTTAAGACATAGAATGCCTACATATCAATTTAACCAAATAATTTATTCGATCCTCTGTCGTTGAACATTTGGATTGATTCCACCTTTTTTGGTTACTTTAAAACCACTGAAACCCTTATAAAGAAATATTTATAAATATCTATGCTATTTGCCTTAGTATAAATTCCTAATATAGAATGGTTTAGTCAAAGGTTATGAACGTTTTTAAAGACTATGAAGTGCTTTTCCATATTGCTTCAGAATTATTGTACCAGCTGACTCCTTCACCAACAGGCTGTGTGCCAGTCTTCCTGTGCCTATACTGATACTAATCACTCATCTTACGTATTGAAAAATTAAGTTATGTCATTTTAATTTTTTTATAACTAATGAAATTGATCATTTAAAATAAGAGTTTTGGCTGTTTGAATTATTTCTTTGGTGAAATTTTTACATTTTTTTCTTTTTTCGTGACCGGCAACGGATCGCAACCCTCAGTGTCGTGCCCGTACTGGACCAGGACCAGCAACGGGATCGCAACCCTCGGTGTTGCACCCGCACCTCGCTCAGCCAGTGAGCAGCCGGTCTGTATGTGGGATCCGAACCCTCGGCGGGAGTGCCGCCGCGCTCCCAAGCGGTGCACTGTAGCAGTGCGCCACCGGGCCGGCCCTACATTTTTTTCTTTTTGTTTTGTCAGAGTTCTTTAAATATTTAAAAAAATTGTCTAATTGCTTGTGGTATATGCTGCAAATATTTTTCCTAGATTGTGATTTGTCTTTCAAGTTTGTATATACTGTCTTTTGGTGAATTAAAGTATTTAATTTTAAATAGACTTCTTTTTTTTTTTAGAGCAGTTTTAAGTTTACAGAAAAATTGTGCAGAAAGTACAGCGTTCCTGCATACCCTACCTTCTCTCCCATGCCCTTCCGGCTTTCTCCTATTGTTAACATCTTGCATTACTGTGGTAAATTTGTTACAACTGATGAACCAATATTGATACATTATTATTAACTAACATCCTTAGTTTACCTTAGGGTTCATTCTTTGTGTTGTACAGTTCTATGGGTTTTGACAAATACAAAATGACATTTATCTGCCATTACAATCTATCAAACAGAATAGTTTCACTACCATAAAAATCCTTTGTGCTCCACCTGTTCATCTTTTCTGCTTCCTCTGAATCCCAGGCAACCACTGATCTTTTTATTGTCTCTATAGTTTTGCCTTTTCCGGAATGTAATATAATTGGAATCCACAGTATATAGCTTTTTCAGACTGGCTTCTTGCACTTAGTAATAGGCATTAAAGGTTCCTTCCTGTCTTTTTGTAGCTTGATAGCTCATTTCTTTCTGTAGCAGAATAATGCTCTATTGTAGAGACATACCACAGCCTGTTTATCCATGTACCTATTGAAGGGCATCTCGATTGCTTCCCATTTTTAACAATTATGAATAAAGCTATAAATGTATGTGTGCAGGCTTTTGTGAGGGCATAAGTTTTCACCCCACTTGGGTAAGTAGCTAGGAGTGCAAGTGTTAGATCTTATGGTAAGCCTATGTTTAGCTTTGTAATAAGCTGCCAGACTGTCTTCCAAAGTGACTGTACCATTTTGCATTCCCACCAACAGTGAATGTTAGTTCCTCTTGGTTTCACATCCTTGCTAGCATTTGATACCGCCAGTGTTTTGGATTTTAGCTGTTCTCATAGGTATGTAATGGTATCTCATTGTTGTTTCAATTTACCTTTCTCTAACAACAAATCATGTCAAGCAACTTTTCATATGTATATTTGGCATTTGTGTATCTCTGTTAGTGAGATAGTTGTTCAGACCTTTTGCCCACTTTATAATCAAGTTGTTTGTTTTCTTATTGTTGAATTTTAAGAGTTCTTTGTATATTTTGGATACAAGTCCTTCATTGGAAGTACTTGATTTTTATATAAAACAATTAAAAAATTTTATTTTCTGGCTTCAGTCTTTGGTATTAGTCCTTAAAAAATCTGCTCTCTCCTCAGGTTATAAATATTCACTTGTAATTTTCAGTAATATTGTGATTTCTTTCTGATATATTTGTATCTAGAAATCTAAAATTTGGGGGAGAGATGATTTCATTTTTTTTTTCCATTTAAAACCACTTAGATATAATTGCCTTGCCTGATTTTGACAACCATGCAATGGAAAATTGGGGACTATTGATGTTTGATGAATCATTATTATTGCTGCAACCAAATGATCAACTGACAGAAAAAAAGACTGTGATTTCTTGCATTGTCTCCCATGAGATTGGACACCAGGCATGTGGTAAAATGTTTTTTCTTATTTTACATGAAGGTATTCTTCAGCTGCTCTACCAAAAATAGCAAAAACCAAAAAACCCCTGCCATATACCAAATTAAAAAAACAAAACTAAAAACATTACTCAAAAAGTGTGACAGTGAGTACAAACAAGGAAGGATTTGTGTAATCAGATTCTGGGTGGATTTGAGCTATTGGAGATGGATCATAGTGATGAGACCTTGCAGTCCAGTCGTGGGTTTGGGCTTTATATCCAAAGATGAACTTTGTTCCACAAAATTCTCCTCAGGAAAAGTAAGCCACACAGAGCTAGGAGTATTTATTTTTCATTCCACCTTAAAATAAGGGATATTCAAAGGGTCACTGAAAGATATCCACATTTCATTAGTGAATTGTTATAAACATGTTTTATATATATATATATATATATCTTCTATATAGACATATGTTGTTATCAACATCTATATATAGAGAGAAGAGAGGTTAAATGGCTGCACGCAATATATTAATGAGGTGAGCAATAACTAATCCTTGAACTGCATCCCCAAAGGCGGTATAAACAATGATTCATTTAATTAGATCTGTATTCTTTCACACTGTGATTTTAGAAGTTTAGTATTTGATTTGATGGAGATTCTCACATCTGCATTTTGGTCTCTACTCCGTTAACACAAGGTTTGAAAAAGAGCAGTTTACTAGGATTGAATAACTCCCCAGTGCACAGTCAACACACACTTTCACAAGTTTTGGTCAGTCACCCCAAGTGTCATTTTTTATAATAGCTGTATTAGTTCATTTGTGTTGCTATAACAGAATACACAGAACTGGGTGATTTATAAAGAAAACAAAATTTATTGCTTACAGTTTCTGAGGCTGGGAGTCCAAAGTCCATCTGGTGGTGGTGACAGTGACCTGGGGATCTCACATTGCAAGATGGTGGAAGCAGAGAAAGCAGAGAGAGAGAGAAAGACAGACTCTCCTTTTAAAGCCCTCAGAACTGCGCCCCTGACCACCATTTTCAATCTATTCACTACTTCATGGTCCTACAACTCAAACGCTTCTTCAAGGCCCCACCTTCCCATTACCATAATAGGATTTCCTATGCTCTTAACAGTCACAGTGAGGGCTAAGTTCCTAATACATAAAACTTGGGGGACACAACTCAAGCTTCAGGGGGTTTGGAGGGGACATAATTCAATCCACTACAACAGCCTAAGTGACATGTGGTTTTGGAATACTAAATATTTGGAATACTAAGTAGTTAGGCTGCCAACTATTAATACATCACAGCTATTATAAGAATGTGGTTAAATACCAGGGCATAGGTTTGTTGGTTTTGGAAATCATCGTGTTTTTGTTTTTCTTTCCTAATTCTGTTCTTCATTCATTTGATACTTTTGTTCCTGTTTAGCTTAGATGGAAAATAAGACCACCATGTTGCAGAACATATGATTGCTTGAGTGATTTGTACACAGAACAGAGCAAATCATGTTCTTAAAACATAACAGCTGCTTACAGCAGAGTCCTGTTGTGTCCTGGTTAGAGTATAAGGTGCTAGAGTTAGTAGGTGGTAAGTCAGCACTCAGGACTTTTGCTTTAACTAAGAACAACTTTTGAGCAGAGTGGACAGTTTAAGAAATGCTACTCTAGCTGACCTTATGTTTGAATATCACAGTCTTAAAACAAAAATTGCTTTCAATTATTAGACATGAAATAATTATTTCAGAGAAATGAATGACTGATATCTCCTCACATGAAAATAAGAACATGCTTTTTGGAGTTCTATTCTCGTGTATTATTATTGATGGTATAAAAAGCTTAATTATGGGGCCGGCCCAGTGGCGCACTGGATAGTGCACCGCTTGGGAAGCGCGGCGGCGCTCCCGTCCGAGGGTTCGGATCCCACATACAGACCAGCTCCCGCTCACTGGCTGAGCGAGGCGCGGGAGCAACACCGAGGTTTGCGATCCCGTTGCCGGTCCCCGGTCCGGTACGGGGGCAACACTGAGGGTTGCGATCCGTTGCCGGACACGGAAAAAAAAAAAAAAAAAAAAAAAAAAAAAAAAAAAAAAAAAAGCTTAATTATGTATTTTGATCTTACGTTTATTTAACATGCAATTTCAATAAATATAATTTAAACTAAATTTAAGAAAACTCTTTTTTCTTTCATTTCCAAAAGTGGTTTGGAAACTTGGTTACCATGAATTGGTGGAACAATATCTGGCTCAATGAAGGTTTTGCATCTTATTTTGAGTTTGAAATAATTAACTACATCAATCCTAAATTCCCAAAAGTAAGTATGTTTGTTAAATTTATTCAACATTTTTTCTCCTGGTTATAAAAGTAATGCATATTCATTATTGAAAATGTATAAAATACAGAAAAATACAAAGAATACTAAATTGTCTATAATACCAGAGATGATCCATGATCTGAAATGATCCATGTTATCTTTTTGGTATGTTTCTTATTCCAGGCTTTTTATATATTAAAAATGTTTTTGAAAGTGGGAATTATATAGAAATTTGCAATGCTTTTTCTACTTCATATTATATCATGAGTCCTTTCATATATATAAACTTTACAAATAATAAGTCTTAGTTTTCTTCAAAAGTCCTTTCCATATACTCAATACTTACAAAATTGTTTGCATCTATACATGGTTAGCACCATCTATAACTGTTTTTTAAAGTGTTTGGTTGTATCACAAATTAACCCTGTGTGTAGAGTCAATAAGGAAAGAAGTTTCATTCCCATAAAACAAAGTCACCCTCTATTTTCTTAATTATATAGAATATATCATTAAACATCAATTTCAGTTACCTCTTACTGCACTAAAATGGCTATTATTGATATCTGGCAAAACGTGATGAAAACGTATTACTGGTATTTTTGAATCTAAGATTATAACATTAGTTTCTTTTTATTATTAGTTATTATTAGTTTCTTTTTATTATTGGTTTCTTTCTTAATCACTTCTGAGTTTACATTTCTCAGTCACTTGTGGAGCTGAGTGATTACAACTCTTGCCAGAAGAGTATCAGGTCCTGGTGCTTGAGGAAGTTGCCCTGAGCTTTGTTTTTAAAGAGCTTAAGGCCTTATGTCAATGAACTCTGGCGATCAAATTTCCTTTGAATCTAGTAATTTGATTGAAATTGAGTCACGACATCACAAAACCATATGCAGAAACAGATATCCATTTTTTCTATTTTTTGATCTAATTTCAGTGGAAAGTCATTAAACATGATGAATGGGTCATAGCTAAGGGTTTAGAGTGTTAAGGACCGAGGGTTTCTTGGTCCCAGAACCACCAACTCTACCATTGCCACTCTTCTGCCTGGACTAAGGAAGCAGCAGCCTTGGTGAAGAGAAAAGGCCCCTCCCATTAACTAAGCACATGTGATGTGCTTGTAGATTATAATATGCATTATCTCTTTTTGATCCTTAGAACGATCCTCTGAAGAAATAATAATAAAGATTAATCACAGAAATAGTTAACCTTTATTAATCATGTTCTATTTGCTAGGCATTCTGTTAAGAGCTTTATATAAATTAATTTTATCCTCATCATAATCCAGTGAGAACAGTACTGTTTTCTCCATTTTCAGATGGCAAAACTGTATTTCAAAGAGCTGAAGTTGACTGACTTTTATGAGTCACACAACTCTTAAGAGGCTGAGATAAGATTTAAATCCAGATAGCTGGACACCAAAGCCTGTGCTTATTACCACTGTGATATTCTTTACAAATTTATTACAATAAATATTCTTATATGTCTTAGGATAAGAATAGATTTAATAGAAATAGCTCTTCTCTGGGATATCACAGCTTGCAGGAAGAAGTAATGATGAATATACAGATTCATTTTACCCAATCACTATATGCAGTGGCTAGATATACATATATATATATATATATATATATATATATATTTATTTATTTTTTTAAAAAGCTGACATCACTTTTTCCCTCCAACAGGCAATATCACCACTCATATTTATTGGTATAAGGTCAAATTTTTCTTTTTTTTAAATTGAAAAGTAATTGATTATACATATTTGTGGGGTACAGTGTTGAATATCATACCTCTGTACAATGTGTGATGGTCAAATCAAGATAATTAGGATATTTATCATTACAAAATATAATCATTCTTTGTGTCCATTAGCCAATTTATTGCTGAACCACCTCCCCCACCCCCTTTCTAAACTCTAGTAACCACAGTTCTGTTCTCTTCTTCTGAAAGTTCATCGTATTATTAGTGATTGTCGTTTCCTTCCTTCCTTCCTTCTTATTTATTTATTTATTTGTTTGTTTGTTTGTTTGTTTTTTTATTAGCTCCCACTATGAGTGAGGACATGTGGTATTTCTCTGTCTGTGCCTGGCTTATTTCACTTAATGTAATGTTCTCCAAGCTCATCCATGCTGCTGTGAAGGCAGAATTTCATTCTTTTTTATGCATGAGTGGTGTTCCATTGTGTATATATCACATTTTCCTTATACAGTCACCCGTCAACAGACATTTTGTTTCTACATCTTGGCTATGGTAGATAGAGCTGTAATAAACAAGGGAGTGCAGGTATTCCTTCGACATGATGATTTCCATTCCTTTGGGTGTATACCAGTAGCTACATTGCTGGATCATATGTTATTTGTATCTGTAGCTACTTGAGAAACATCTATACTGTTTTGCGTAATGAATGTACTAATTTACAGTCCCACCAACAGTGTAGAAGAATGCCCCTTTCTCTGCATCCTCACCAGCATTTGTTATTCTCTGTCTTTTTGAAAATAGCCAGTCTAACTGGGGTGAGATGATATCTCAATGTGGTTTTCACTTGTATTTCCCTGATGGATTAGTGATGTTGAGCATTTTTCATATACTTGTTGGTCATTTGTATGTCTTCCTTTGGGAAAGGTCTATTCAGCTCCTTTGCCCATTTTTTAAATCAGATTATTTGTTTTTGTTACTGTTAAGTTGTTTGAGTTCCTTGTATATTCTAGATATGAATCCCTCATTGTATATATAGTTTCCAAATATTTTCTACCAATTCTGTAGGTTGTCTTTTCACTCTGTTGGTTGTGTCCTTTGCTGTGCAGAACCTTTTTAGTTTGATATAATCCTATTTGTTTATTTTTTCTTTTGTTGCCTGTCTAATTTTGAGGTCTTTATTCATAAAGTCTTGCCCAGTCCTACATCCTAAAGTGTTTCCCCTGTGTTTTCCTCTAGTTTTATAGTTTCAGGTCTTATATTTAAGTCTTTAATCCATTTTGAGTTGACTTGGCATATAGCAAGAGCTATAAGTCTGGTTTCATTCTTCTACACATGGATGTCCAGTTTTTGCAGCACCGTTTATTGAAGAGGTGCTTTCTCCAATGTATGTTCTTGGGGTTTTTCTTAAAGATCAGTTGGCTATAAGGGTGTGGATTGATTTCTGGTATCTCTATTCTGTTCCATTGGTCTATGTGTCTGCTTTTATGCCAGTTTCATGCTGTTTTGTTTACTATACCTTTGTAGTATAATTTGAAGTCAGGTAGTGTTATGCCTCTGGCTTTACCTTTTATTGCTCAGGATTGCTTTGCCTATTCATGGTCTTTCAGTGTTACATATGAATGTTAGGATTGTCTTTTCTATTTCTATGAAGAATATCATTGGTATTTTATAGGGATTGCATTGAATCTGTAGATCACTTTGGGTAGTATGGACATTTTCATAATGTTAATTATTCCAATCCAAGAGCATGGAATGTCTTTCCATTTTTCTGTCCTCTTTAATTTCTTTCAGCAATGTTTTTTAGTTCTCATTGTAGAGATCTTTCAACTTCTTGGTTAAATTTATTCTTAGGTATTTTTTTTTTTCGTGACTATTGTAAACAGGCTGCCTTCCTCCCTCCCTCCCTCCCTCCCTCCCTC